TCCACTGTCCAAAACCCCCTGCACAAGCCATGGCCTTTGGCACTCCATTCCCTTGCCTGGCTCCTCATTTGAGCCTTTCCCTTGGTGGCCCTTCTTGTTCATTTCTTTTCTGGGCTTTGTCTGAGGGCCCCTCACTGGGGCCACTTCTCTCCTCCCCTTGGTTTCCCTGTACTGCAATACCCTAGTGCAGCCACACCTTACTGGCCCTGCCTTTACCTGCTCTCCCCTGGCCTGAACTTTCCTCTAGGTCCCTTGTCTTACATCCTTGCTGGGGTCCTGGCCCCCACCCCATCCTGTGGCCCTTGAGCCTGTGCCCTCCTTTGGCCCTCTTGTCATTTCTGTCTCTCCCAGGCCCACTTTCCTGATCCTCTTCCCAGGATGCTCACCAGGCCAGATATTTGACCCTGTGGGTTCTCTTTGGGAAAATATAGCCCTGCGCCTTGTCTGGGCTCTTTGGCCTCCCTCAACCCATGCCTAGCTACCCAATCCTGACACCCTGCAGTGGACCTGGGCCTTTAGCCTTCCTTCCCCTGTGCCACCTGCTCAGATTTCTTCCCTCCCTTCTCTTCCCATCCATCTCTGTTTTCATTCACCCTGCGCCAGATGCTAGCACTTGGCTCTCAATTACTGGGCATGGCTCCTTGCTTGAGGCCCTGGCAGCCTTTCTTGAGGACCCTTTCCCTTCACTTGGTTTCAGGTCCCAACCTGTGCCTCGCCTGTGTTCCACTGGTGATGTGGTATCCTGGCACTGCCAGAACCCTTCACTTTCCCTGCTTCTCCCTAGCCTGGCCTCCTGGAATGGGTCCTGGCTGCCAAACAACCACCCCCACAACCTCCATACTCCAGGTATCCCCTCACAGTGCCCTCTTTTGACCTTCCTTTGGCCCAGGTCCCTCTCTGAGGATCTACTCACCTGGGCAGAGGAGCCAAATTGGCTGGCCTCTCTGTTGTTAAGGCTCCCTATTGGAAATACAGCCTTGCCTCCTGCCTGAGTCCCCTTTTCTGCCTGAAACTTCAGGCCTGGCAGTTAACATGTGGTTTGCTTCAACTCAGCCCTTAGAGAACCACTCTCTTCCCTCCCCTGTCCTCTCACCTTGCATGTTGCCCCTACCCTAACCCAGAGCTCCCTAACCCTGACCATTTGCACTTCAGTCCCCAGGCCTGGCACTAACATGAGCCCCTGACAGTGTTCCATATGTCACTTGGCATAGCATGGAGTCTATTCCTGTTGGGTCTGACCTGGGGACCCCTTGCTTGGGACTGCCAGCATGCTCCTTTAGGTGCCTGTTGGACTTTTCTTTGTCTCCTTGTCCATGTGCAGACCCTCCTCCCCTTCCCCTTGTGCTTTCCCCTGGTGCTAGCAGGTCTCCTGCTCTTTGGGTTACTCATCCTTGGTCAGTCAGGTGGGTCTTTGCCTGGGCACCTGGCTTGGGTACTGGATCTTGCACCCCCACACACCTACGAAGACCCCCCACCGTGCCCTCCCATTGCCCTCCTCCTGTCCGCCTTCACTAGCCAGGCCTCCTTTTCCAGGTCCCTGGCCCTGGATTCTCATCAGGACCAGAGTGCCTTATGGGAAACTGAGTCCTGCCCCTCACCTGGGCCCCTTGCTCTCTCTGGGCCTTTGGTCCTGCACCCAGAACCCTGACACCTGGCAGTCGCCCTGGGCCAGGAGCCTGCCTGCTCCCTGTTGGATCCCCTGCCATGCCTCCAAAGTCTTGTCCTCTGTCCTGAGCTCCCAACCCAAGCCCTGGTCCTTGGCTCTCCATTCCCTGTCCTGTCTCCTCGCTTGAGCCTCTGGGGACCCTTCTTCCTCTGTGCTTCCCTGGGCTTGGACTGCAGGCCTCGCTGGAACCAGTACCCTGCTCCCCTTGGCTTCCCTGAACCTCAGAACCCTAATGTCACCTGCCTGCCCAGCCTCGCCCTTCCCTGCCCTTTCTTGGCCTGGGCCCTCCTGTTGGTCCCTAGGCTGGGCTCCTTTCTGGAGTCCTGGCCTGCACCCCATCAACACTCTTCCTCTGGCCTTTGACACTGTTCATCCCTCCTGTTGTCCCTGTCCCTGCTGGGCCCCTTTGCAAGATCCCTTTCCCAGGATGCTCACACCAGGTACAGGGTGACTAGAACTGGGTTTTGGCCCTGTGGGCTTGTTAAAGTCTGTAAACAAGTCAAGATGGTGCCTGACATTTTGCCAGAGGGAGTGGTTTGTGAAGTAAAGCCAGCAAGCCATTGAGTGTGGAGATTCCTTATTGGTTGACTGCTGTATCTAGTTTATGTTAATTAAGATAAGCTGTGCGGAATGTATATATACCACTCCTGTCCTACAATAAATGGCTCCCACTCCTGCTGTATCAATGTACACAAGTTGTTCATCACCCCCCGGTTATTTTGCTGCAGCCGGACTGCAGCATGGGCTCCCTTTGGGAAATCATAGCTGTGCCCCTTGCCTGGGCCCTTTGGACTCTCTCTGCCCAGGCCTTGCTCCTTGATCCTAACACCCAGCGGTGAACCTGGGACTTGAGTTTCTCTTCTCCCTGCATCACCCACTACCCTTACTCCCTTTTCTCCACTCCCCAGCCCTGTCTGTTTTCAAAGGACCCAGGAGCGGATCCTGGCACTTGGCTCCCCATTCTTGGGCCTAGCTCCTTGCTGGATTCCCTGGTTGCCCTTCTTAAGGACCCTGTCTCTGTTCCTTGATTTCAGGCCCCTTGCTTAGCCCCCCTCCTGTGCCTCCCCTCTGTTCCCCTTGTACTGTGGTATTTTGTCATTGCCAGGACTAGCCTGGGCTCTTCCAATGGTTGCTGGCTCCCCACTGATACCCCCAATCCTGAACAAAATGTATCCCTCACATTGCCCTCCTTTGTTCCTGGTCTCTGTCTGTGGATCTACTCACCTGGGACAGAGGAGTGGAATTGGCTGGCCTCTGGGCCCTGAAGGATCCTTATGGGCAACACAGCTCTGCCCATCGCCTGGGCCCCCTTTGCTGTCCAAACCTGACAACTGGCTGTGGACTTGGGCCTAGTGATGACTTTGCCCTGGGGATCCCTTCCCTTCCCTCTCCTGCCCTCTAGCCTTGGAAGATTACCCTAAGCCAACCCAGCCCTTCCTCACCCTGACCCTTTGCCCTATAGTCCCCTGGACTGGCTGCCAGCCTGAGATCCTTACTGCATTACTCGGATTTTGTTGCTTTCTTTGGTGTTTCTTCCTGTCATGCCTTACATGGGTGCCTCTTGACTTGGCCCCTAAGCTAGCTCTCCTATGTGCCCTTTGCACATCCCTCTGTCTCTTCATCCTAGTGCCGATCCTACCTCTCCTTCCCCTACTGCTTTTTCCTGGAGCAAGGGCCTCCTGACCATTGAGTCCCCTAATACCTTTTGGTGGGGTCAGTCACTTACCTGGGCCTGTTGTTTGGGTTCTGGCTCTTGTCCCTCTCTGCACCCCCTGCATCCGCCCACTGTGCCTTCCCATTGCACTCTTCCTGGACCCATGGCCCTTGCCAGGCCCTTTGACCTGGTCCCTGGCCCTTGATCCTCATCTGGGCCAGAGCGCCTTTTGGGAAACAGAACCCTCACCCTTGACTAGGCAACTTGCTCTCCCTAGGCCCTTGGGACAGCACCAGGAACACTGACACCTGGCAGTGGCACTAGGCCTGGAGCCTGCCTTCCCCCTGCTGGATCCCCTGCCTTCCCTCCTCAGCCCTATCCACTGTCCTGAGCCCCCTGCCCCAGCGCTGGCCCTTGGCTCTCCATTCCCTGGAAAGGCTTGTCTTTTGAGCCTCTGGGGGTCCTTCTTTTTTTTATAGAACAACCAGATTTATAATTGATTTATTTTATTAGATTTATCAATATACATGGCAAATTTCTCGAATCTCAAAGTTCCAAAAATTTGTAATTTTAAATCATATTTTCCTTTAGATGTCATACTTCTAGAGCACTATTAAAGTCTATTTATAAACAAAAATAATTGGTAAATTAACACACTTTAGAAAATCAAGAATATTTTAAATTAAAAATATTTTAATGAATACAAGATGTCTTTTTAATTAACTATCATAGTTAAGTTTAATATCATAAAACAAAATGGCTTATCCCCACAAGTTTCTCAAGTGAGGGAAAGCCATTGAGATTTACACTTAATATAAGGGTTTTTTTTTATTTTTTTTTTAATATTTATTTTTTAGTTTTCAGCGGACACAACATCTTTGTATGTGGTGCTGAGGATCAAACCTGGGCCGCACACATCCCAGGCGAGCGCGCTACCGCTTGAGCCACATCCCCAGCCCCTTAATATAAGTTTTTAATGTGATTATTAAATGATAATATTTTATCAGTTATAGGAAATGTTCATTTATAGGAATTTCCTCAGGTCCTTCAATCTTTTTAGGCCAAGTTTGAGCCCATGTCAACCTTAAAGGTTAGATTCAGTGCACCTAACTTGCCTAATAAGCTTGTCAATTTAAGAATATGAATTTCATTGATAATAAGGGAGAATAAACAGTAGTTAACCCACTGTTCAACTGGGAAAAGAAAAAAGAAAAAGAAAAAAAAAAATACTAACAATGAAATAGGGCAGTTTCAAATAAATACTTTTTAAAATTTAAACAGGAATGGACAATCATATTGGGTTTTAAATTTCACATGATAACCTTAAAAAAACACATAAAAATAGTGAAGTCATCACCTTATTGATAAAAAAAAAACTAAAGTTTAATAGTCATTAAAGGGGTAACAGCCACTTATCATCTACATGTAAAAGTAATTTTAATCCAAGCTAAGAAAACTAGAAACAAAGAATTCTATTAGAAACAACAAAAAATGATAAAAACATTTTAACGCCTAAAATGTAGAAACTTAATATCTTAAACAAAAATATTAAAGATAAAAGGGACTTGAATTTTTTTAAAACAATTCATCTTATAAAATCAATTTCTAAATAGCTCATATCCTTTTTGCTTTGGTGTTTTGTCGGGTATCAACTAGACATTAGTACAGTAGAAAAATCACTTAGGTTCTTTTCAAATGCTTGGCATTATAATGTGATCTCATATCTTTCCTCAAATTAAATTTTCCTCCACATATTCTACATGTATACAGATGAACATCCATGTGCTGCTCCAATTGTTCATTATTTGGGAATATCTGAAAGCAGACCTGGCATATAGTCTCACCAGCAGATAAATGAGAAATCATATGCTGTACATGGTCATGTTTTCTGAAGTTTCCTTGATCACAAATGGAACAGACATACCTGGCTATGCCTTTGTGCATATCATTGTGCAGACGCAACTGACGTTCTCTTAAAAACTGCTTTCCACATGTCTGACAAACAAACTGTTTTTCCTTAGTATGAACAGTATAGTGTTCTCTTAAATGACACCGCTGATAAAATCCTTTTCCACAAAGATTACAGAAATGCTTTCGCCTGTGATCTCTTTCATTTTCTTCCATGATGGCACTCTTAAACATATCTTGGTCTAGGCAGCTAGACATATGTTCAACCACTAGATTTTCAGTTTCAAAACGCTGGCCACAGTTAGGACATCGAAAAGTACAGGCAGAATGCTTAAATAACTGCTTTTTTTTGGGATACTGTTTAACTGGTAATGACTGTCCCTAAAATCATCCAACATTTCAACAAACATATCTCTTATTTCAGACTGCTCATCAGGATTTTCTTCCATGTCCATTTTCTCCTCAGTATTTCCTAACCCATTCATTGTCAGATCTTGGGGTTGTCCACATCTTTGGGCATGTTCCTGAAGTTGTCTACCCTTGACAAGTATTTGTCCACATTTATCACATGCACAGATATTTTCAATGTGTTTGGCTAGGTAATGAGATGACAGGTCCTCTTCGGTTATTGTGAGTCCACACAGCTCACAAGATGCATTTTCAGTATCCTCTCGAACTGGACTGCTGTTGTTAGGGGGTCTCATATTTTCTAAACCAACTCTTTCATCAGCATTTATTGACATCCGAGGTTTTAGAGTTTTCCTATCACTTTTTTTAAATGCTGACGTCTTCTTCAACATAGTATCTATAAAATGGCTCTTCGGGTTCATCTTCCAATTCATCGTTGTCAGTGGATTCATTACAGTCTTTATCATTAACTTTAATAATGTTAAAATCTTTCAGCTCATCTGTAGGAATATCTTCTGGCTCCATCTTGATAATGATTCTTTTCCTCTCAGCAGCTCTGCTTTTTTCTTCAGTGGCTATTTCAGACTCCACTGTGCTACTTTTCCTGTTTCCAGTGGTTGAAGCTGAATCATCAGGAGCCTGGCTTGTGTCTCCTCTGTATTTGTCTGTCTGTGCAGAAAATGTTTTAGAAGAATCCTTTTCACCAAATTCAGCTTTGTTGTTACTGTCTTTTTCATCTCTAATATCTACTATTCGGTGGTAAGATCTTGTGTTTTGGTATGAATGTCTCTTAGTACAGGTCAACACATGCTCATCTAATAATTTTTCACAACTAAAGCCAAATCCACAGCTGTCACAGGTAAAACTCCGTCCAAAGTGTCATGATACACGTTCTTTTGGAGCAGATAATTTTGACACAGAACTTTTTTTACATGCATCAAACAGTGGTTCAGGAAAATTACCTAATTGTCAAGATTCTTCATCAGGCTCTCTATTATGTGGTGTATTTACTGTTGAACTTGGCTCTGCACACCACCTATTGGCTTCACTTCTATTTCTAGCCACAGTGTCTTCATACATTCTTACTCCAATTATCATTTTGCTGTTCTGTTTGCTGGAAGCAGAAGATGAACATTTTGAACTAGAACAATCTGCATCCTGTATATCTTCTAAGCAGTCGGGAACATTGTACAGCTGTAGGTAGTTCATTGCCACTTTAAACTGCTCAAAACTGGAGGGAGCTGTCATAATTTTTCCTAAATACATAAATTGCAAAATGAGATCAAAACACTCAGCACTAATTTTCATATTGCTGAGATTCAGTTGTGCAGTACTATGTTGATGGTTCATGAAAAACATTCTAAAATAGGAGCTGCAGGCAGCTAGAACGGCTTTGTGGGCTTGAAAGTAAATGTCCTCAATTGCAATACAACAGTCACAGAGAAAACTCCATTCTCTTTGGTTGTTTAGCTGCTGAAGGACATAGCGGCTGTGGCTGGGTTTTACCATCTTCTATTAATTAGAGACACCTGCTTTTGGAGATGGTGGTTTGTTGGTTGGTTTGCTGGTATTTTTCTGTCCCCTTGTCAAGCCAACAGCTGTCACTTCTAAATGGTATGCTGACCTCCTTCTGTTCACCATTTCAGTCTCTTATAGGCATTCGTCCCAGATGTTAGACCCCTGCCCAGCAGGGCCCAGCTGCTGGGCCCTCTCCCTCGCAGTATGCCCGGGGTGTTCTGGGGGCACCTGTACCCTCACCCCATCCTGTCCCCCGCTCATCTGCTCTGGGACGCCCATTCCCCGAGTTCCCCCCACACTACCTTCATTGGGCCTGTCCCTGGGGGTCCTTCTTGCTCCGTGCTTCCCTGTGCTTGAACTGTGGGCCTGGCTGGGGACACTTCCCCACTCCCCTTGTCTTCCCTGCATCTCAGAACCCTAGTGCAGTCCATGCCTGCCTGGATCCACCCTTCCCTGCTCTCCCCTAGCCTGGGCCCTCCTCTAAGTCCCTAGCCTGGGCTCCTTTCTGCGGTACTGACCCACACCCCACAAACACCCTTCTGCATGCTGTGCCATCCTTCAGCCCTCCTGTTGTCCTTGTCCCTAGTGGGCTCCTTTTCCAGATATCTTTCCCAGGATACTCACTAGAGCCAGGAGCTGGAATTGGGATGTTTTGCCCTGTGGTCTTCCCTTGGGAAAAGGTAGTAGTGCCCCTTGCCTGGGGGCTTTGGCCTCCTTCAGACTGGGCTCTGCTCCTCAATCCTGAAACCCTGCAGTGAATCGGCCATGACCCCTCCTCTCCCTGTGCCACCCATTCCCCTTAATCCCCTTTCTCCCCATATACCACTGCAGCCAGGAGAGAGGGGACTCATCCTTTCAGACGGAAGGCCACTCCCACCTGGGTTTCAGGGGAGCTCCTATAGCCCAGCAGCCAGGGTAGAGGGACCTCCTCCTCCATACAGGAGACTCCTCCCATCTGGGTGTTGGGAGAGCTGCTATACTGCTGCAGCCAGGGTAGAGGGCACTCGCCCCTATAGGCGGGAGACCCCTCACACCTGGGTGTTGGGGGGAACTCAAAACAGCCACAGCCAGGGTAGAGGTGACTTGCCCCTCCAGGCAGAAAACCCCACCCACCTTGGTTTCAGGGGGAGCTCATATACCACCACAGACAGGGTAGAGGGGATTCACATCTCCAGTCCCCTCTATCCTGGATAGCTTGGTATACAAGCTCCCTCAACACCCAGGTGGGAGGGGTCACCTTCCTGGAGGGGCGAGTCCTTCTACCCTGGCTAGGGCAGTATACAAGCCCCCCAACAGACATGTAAGTGGTAGATGTCTTGTTCCTGGAGGGCCGTTTCCCCTCTACCCTGGCTGCTGTGGTATAAGAGCTCCCCCTGGCACCCTGGAGGGAAGGTTTTCCTGTCTGGAGGGGCAAGTCCCCACTACCCTTGATGCAGTGGTATGAGCTCCCCCATCCTGACACCCAGGTGGAAGGGGTCTCTCCCCTGGAGTGGCGAGTCTTCTCTACCTTAGTGAGGTGGTATACAAGTTTCCCACAACACCCAGGTGGGAGGAGTTTCCTGTCTGGAAGGGTAAGTCACCTCTACCCTCTCTGGGGCCATTTTGATTTCCACCCAACATCCAGGTGTGAGGGGTCTCCCGCCTAAAGAGGCAAAGCCCTCTACCCTGACTATGGTGGGTAGAGCTCCCCCTGATACCCAGGTAGGAGGAGTCACCCAAGTGGAGGGGCGCATCCCCTCTACCCTGGCTGCGGAAGTATAGGAGCTCTTCCCAACATCAAGGTGGGAGGGGTCACCAGCCTGTAGGGGTGAGTCCCCACTCTCCTGGCTGTGGCAGTACATGAGCTCCCACTGACACCCAAGCTCTCACCTGCTTGAAGGGGTGATTCCCTTCTACCCTGGCTGTGACAGTATACAAGCTCTCCTGTCACTAGGTGGTGGGCTCTCCTGTCTGGAGTGGCGATTCCCCTCTACCCTGCCTGCGGTGGCATATGAGCTCCCCTGACACCAGGTGTGATGGGTCTCCCACCTAGTGGGGTGATTCCCCACTATCCTGGCTGCGGTGGTAAAGGAGCTCCCCCTTCAATACCCAGATGGGTGGGTCTCACACCAGGAGGGGCAATTCCCCTCCACCCTGGCGGTATACAATCTCCTCCAAAACACAGTTGGGAGGGGTCTCCCACTGGAGGTGCAAGTCCCCTCTACCCTGGCTTCAGAGGAATACAAGCTCCCCCTGACACCCAGGTGGGATGGGTCTCCCACTTGGAGGGGTGAGTCCCCTTTACTTTGGCTGGTGCCTTATAAGAGTTCCCGGGACAACCATGTGGGAGGGGTCTCCCGCGTGCAGGGATGAGTCTTCTCTACCCTGGCTGTGGCAGTAATCGAGCTCCCCTGACACCCAGGAGAAATGGGACTCTAGCCTGGAGGGGCGAATCCCCTCTACCCTTGCTGCAGTGGATACATGCTCCCCCAGACACCAATATGGGAGGGGTCCCTACCCTAAAGGGGCCAGACACTCTTCCATGGCTGAGGCAGTTTAAGAGCTTTCCCCGACTCCCGGGTGTGAGGGGTCTCCCGCCTAGTGGTGTGAGTCCCCTCCGCCCTGTTTAAGTCAGTATACAAGCTCCCCTGGACACCCAGGAGACTGGGGTCTCCTGCCTGGAGGGGCGAGTCACCTCTACCCTGGCTGCAGCGGTATAAAAGCTCCCCACCATATACACTTTCGGTCTCTTGCCTGGTGGGGGGAGTCCCCTCTACTCTGGCTGGGGCAGAATACTAGATCCCCCTGACACCCAGTTTGCAGGAATCTACTGTCTGGAGTGGCGAGTCCCCTCTATCCTGGCTGAAGCTGTGTTTGAGGTCCAGCAGACACCCAGGTGGGTGGGGTCACCTGCATGGAGGGGTGAGTCCCCTCTACCCTCACTGCGGAAGTATAGGAGCTCCCCCCAACACCCAGGTGAGAGGGGTCTCCTGCATAGAGGGGTGAGTCCCCTCTACCCTGCCTGCAGTGTTATAAGTATTCCAATAAACACCCAGATGGGAGGTGTCTCCCGCCTGGAGGGGCGAGACCCCTCTACCCTGCCTGCAGCTGTATATGAGCCCCCCTGAAAATCAGGTGTGAGAGGATTCCCACCTAGTGTTGTGTTTCCCCTCTATGCTGTCTGAGACTGTATAGGAGCTCCACCACCACCCCAAAGCCAGATTGGAAGGTCTCCTGCCTGGAGGGGCGAGTTCCCTCTAGCCTGACTGCTGTGGTATAGGAGTTCCTGCGGACACCGAGGTGGGAGGAGTCTTTTGCCTGGAGGGGTGAGTCTCCTCTACATTGGCTAGGGAGATATACAAACCACCTACACACTCCTAGGTGGGAGTGTTCTCCTGCTTGGAGGGGTAAGTCCCTTCTACCCTGGCTGCTGTGTTATATGAGCTCCCCTGACACACAGGTGGGACGAGTCTCCCGACTGGAGGGAAGAGTCACCTCTACCCTGTCTGCCGCGGTATAAATGCTCCCACTGACACCTAGGATGGTCTCCAACTTGGAAAGTTGACTCCCCTGTACACTGGCTGTGGCCATAATGGAGTTCCCACCGACAACCAGGTGGGATGGTAACCAGCCTGGAAGGGCTAGTACCCTCTACCCTGGCTGCAGAGGTAAAAGAATTCCCCCAGAACTCAGATGGGAGGGGTCTGAATCTCAGAGAGGTGAGTCCTCTCTTCCCTGGCTGCAGAGGTGTATGAGTTCCCCTAGACACTCTGGTGTGATTCCCCTCTACCTTGTCTGTAGCAGTAATAGAGCTCCTCCTTCACCCAGTTGGGAGCAGTGTCCCGCCTGGAGTCCCCTCCCACCTAGGTGTCTGGGGTATCTTGTATACAGCCACAGCAAGGTTAGAGGGGACTCGCCTCTCCAGGCAAAGATCCCAGCCAACTGGGTGTCGAAGGAGCTCATATACCATTGCAACTAGTGTAGAGGGTACTCACCCCTCCAGTGGGGAGTCGCCTCCCACGAGGGTGTCCTGGGAGATCTTATATGGCACCAGCTAAAGTAGAAGGGACTCTCCCTTCCAGGTGGGAGAACCCTCCCACCTGGCTGCTGGGGTGAGCTTGTGTACCGCCAGAGCCAGGGTAGAGGAGACTCACCACTCCAGGCAGGAGTCCCCTCCCACCTGGTTGTCTGAGGAAGCTTGTATACCTTCACAGCTAGGGTAGAGGTGATTCGCTGCTCTAGGCGTGAGACTCTTCCTACCTGGGTGTCAGGAGGAGCTTTCATACTGACTCAGCCAGAATAGAGGGGATTTGCCCCTCCAGGCAGGAATACACCTCCCACCTGGGTGTCAGGAGGCGATCTTTTAGGGGAAACTCGCTACTCCAGGCGGGAGACCACTCCCGCCTTGGTGTGTGGGGGGAGCTATTATACTGCCACAGCCAGGGTAGACGGGAATCGCCCCTCCAGGCAGGTAGACCTCATATACCACTGTATCCAGGGTAGAGGGGACTTGCTTCTCCAGGAAGAGATCCTTCCCAACTGGGTGTCATGGGGAGCTTGTATAACACCTTAGCAAGGGTAGAGGGCTCTTGCCCCTCCAGGCTGGAGACCCCTCCAGCCAAGGTGTCAGGGGGAGCTCATATACTTTAGAAGCCAGGGTAGAGGGGACTTGCCCCTTCATATTGGAGACCCCTCCCACGTGGGTATGGTAGGGGGCAGCTTGTATACCGCCACAGAGAGGGTAGAGGGAAATCGCCCCTCCGTGCTGCAGAACCACTCCCACCTGGGTGTCAGGGGGGAGTTCCTACACAACTGTAGCCAGGGTAGAAGGGACTCACCCCTCTAGGCTGGAGACCCCTCCCACCTGGGTGTCTTGGGGAGCTCCTATACAGCAGCAGCCAGGGGAGAGCCAACTTGCCCCTCCAGGCGAGAGACCCCTCCCATGTTGATGCCAGGGAAAGCTTGAATTCTGCCTTAGCCAGGGTAGAGGAGGACTTTCCCCTCTAAGTGGG